TTTTTTTCTCGAAACGGTATAGATATTATATTACCAGTACAAATGTGCAAAAAGACAGTCACCGGCTGAATACAAAGCAACAAATAGCTGAATAAAAACAACCAACGGCTGAAAAAGTAGGAGGTCAAGTCAGAAGACCGCCTATAACCGACCTCAATAGGATAATAAACGAAAAACACAAAAAAATACTAACAGACAACACAAAGACCCCAACAAGATAAATAAAGATATGTTGGATTTATATGTCGGATTTATTTAGGTATAATGAGATCTGAAGAGCACGAGAATAGAAGGAAAAGTGCAGAGAGAGGAAGAAGAAGAAGACTGCGATTTTGCATTAGAAAAAGTGAGTGTACAGAGATCAGTTTTTACCCTATTTATACTTAGGGTTTAATACAAAAGTGCTGAAAGTAAATGACAACTTTAAAGGTAAAAATTACAACACAATTACAACTCTATTATCCTAATCCTATTACAAGTCTAATACTCTAATACCCCCCCCGCAAGATTTACATGGATGTTGTTCATGTGAATCTTGGACAAAAGGTAGAAGAAGGCAGACTTTGGTAATGGCTTGGTAAATAAATCTGCAACTTGATCAGATGTGGAAATATAATGCAGTTTTATGAGCCCTTCAGCAATCTTTTCCCTGATGAAATGACAGTCGATCTGTATGTGATTGGTTCTCTCATGGAACACTGGATTTGTAGCAATGGCCATTGCAGATTGACTATCTGAAAACAGAGAAACTGGAGTAGAGTGTGAAATATGGAAGTCATCAAACAAGTAAATAAGCCATTGAATTTCACAAGATGTGGTGGCCAATGCTCTGTACTCAGCCTCAGCTGAGGATCTGCTTATTGTGTTCTGTTTTTTAGACTTCCAAGAAATAATAGAATTTCCCAAGAATATGGAGTAACCAGTTATACTTTTCCTAGTGTCAAGACAACTAGCCCAATCACTATCAGAAAAAGCATTTAACTGTAAAGTAGAATTTCTAGAAAAGAAAATACTTTTACCCACTGTACCTTTGATGTACCTCAGAATTCTGTGAGCAGCTGATAAATGTAACTTTGTGGGTTTGGACAAAAACTGACTGAGACTTTGGACACTATAAGATAGGTCAGGTCTGGAAATAGTTAAATATAACAACCTACCTATTAATCTCCTGTACTCAGTTACATCAGTGAGTTCACAAGTGTCAGTAGCAGCGGATAATTTCAAAGAAGCAGCCATAGGAGTAGAAGCAGGTTTTGAATCCAAAAAACCAGTGTCAGAAAGAATATCCAAAGCATATTTTCTTTGGTACATATTAATACCATTTGGGGAATGAGAAAATTCTAACCCTAAGATATATTTGAGTTTGCCCAGATCTTTAATAGTAAAACAGGAATGCAGATGCTGTTTTATGGCAGTTAAATCATTGATATTGTTTCCAGCAAGAATGACATCATCAACATAAACAAGTAATGCCATGAAAGATGAAGTTTCAGTATTGAATAAAGTAAATAATGAGGAATCTGCAGTGGATTGTTTAAAACCATATGCTAATAAACAAGATGTAAGTTTGTGAAACCACTGCCTAGATGTCTGTTTAAGGCCATAGAGGCTTTTTATGAGTTTACAGACTCTAGTATCAGAAGATGAACAATAGCCTGGTGGAGGCTTCATATACACCTCTTCATCTAGGTCACCATGCAAAAATGCATTGTTTACATCAAGTTGATGAAGATGCCAGTTTTTAATGGATGCTAATGCAATGAGGAATCTAACTGTAGTTATTTTAGCTACAGGTGAGAAAGTTTCAAAATAATCAATGCCTTCCTCTTGGGTATAACCCTTAGCAACCAATCTAGCTTTATATCTTTCTATTGTGCCATCGGAGTTATACTTTATTTTGTAAACCCACTTACACCCAATGCAATGTTTACCTTTAGG